ATGTATTTATAAAATGCAAGGGATCTGTCTGCATTTGTACAGGTGACATGCTAGTAGATGACTGCATTCCTTCTTAAGTCTGTCATCCTCTTTCCTGCTTGGTTGTCAAAGTATTCTCAGATAAAACTCAAATTCTCCCAGACAAGCATCACCGAAACAAGTAAAGCAATTCAAGTAGATTTGACACATGAAGACCTCCCTAAGAAAAGAGGGAAAGCAGCCTGTGAGCACGTACAGATCTTTCTCAATAATAAAGGATTCACACCCTCAAGCTTCATAAAGGTACAAGCGATGACAACATGCTTTGATGACAACAAAGCATGATTCGTCAACAAGAGAGTATCACAAGAGCTTAGCACGACACTTCACAAAACACATCTCTCCCAAAGGAGTGATGGAGCTTCAGCCTTGCCTGGTGCCACACACAACGCACGCCTCCTGCTGTGGAAAAACCCATAAGCTAGAAGTCAAAGCACGTGCACCAACAAATCGACATCTGTGGAGAAAGAAAAACCCAAACACACAGAAATCTGCTCCTGTTCTGTGAGCAAGACTTAGACTCTGCAGTCAGACTTCATCCTGGTCTATCAGCCTCAGCCGGCTCACCCACAGACCACCCACAGTGCGTTTACTGACCGTCTGGATGCATATACCACAGAAAACATGCAGAGAGTTTGCTGAAATCTGCAGTTCTCATCTGACTGGCTGGTGCTATGCAGGGGTGCATCATTCTGCCTAGAAACAAATTATGTTTATAAAGGTACCGGGTTTATACGAGTGGTTTTGAGAAAGAATTAATAACTGGATTTGTTTGCCAGGATAGTGGAACCAAATCTTCAAAAAGCTGTACTTGAACATGGTAGCGAGTCGAATAGATATTCGCAATATTGTAACCCCGCCACTAAATTGCAGGTAATACCAAGACCCAGCCCCAGCGCAAACCCTCTTTTGGCATTAAAAAACTATTGTCAGGATTTACTAAGGACACACAGTGAAAAAATAGCGATGAAAAGGCGTGGGCACAGTTATATTTGCAGCCGACCTTAAAGCATAAGCATTTGTAGGAGTTTCCCTTTCAGACGCTAAATTTATTGAATGATAGAATGTAAATAAATAACTAGCAAATTTTCATTTTTGGGTAAACTGTCCCTTTAAAAGGTACACTGTGTTGGAAGTTCTCCCATCTAGCGGTGAAATTGTATTTTGCATTCAAACGAATAGTGCTCTCTAGCGCCTCGCTTTTTCAAATGCTTGTTGCAACTACGATCATCAAGTTTAACTATACATGTTCGACTGTTATGCTGCCTATATAAAGAATTACATAACCAAGCAATGAAAAAAAGCTTGTAATTTAGACCGTAACATTGACTTACCTGTCGAGAAGAAAGCAGGCAACTTCAGCGTCCCTTTCAAAGTCTTTCACCTTCAGTATAGCTCTTTCCACCTGGGAAAAGCTATCCCGATATTTACTCTCGTTTTTTTAATTCGCCGGTCACGTTTCCTTTTAAATGACTTTTTTGCCGACGAGGATTCCTTCTCCTGTGGCTCGGCATAAGTATGATCCTGCATTATGAAGTACCGTGCAGTGCAGCCTTTCAAATTTGCCGGGGCAGTGACAAGCGCCTCTCACTGATCTCCTTGTCCGTTTCAGCTGGTTTCAGTCACGTGACGCTGGCTCTGAATGAAAACGCGTTGTGGAAACGCGTTTAGGTAGGCTAGGGCTTTTTGTCCCTCTCTGCTATTATAGTTTTTCAAGATGGTGGAACGACATGGAAGTCTTATTAAACGTCCCATGTAATTAAAGATAAGAAATTCTTCGCTTACGAGGATAAGTCAGATCATTGGCAGAGGTAATTTTACACCAATGAGGACATATTTATGAATAAAGACATTGATTTTAGCTAATAAAATACTTAAACTACACAGTGTACCTTTAAGGAATTAATTAACCAAAAAGATTGAATCACTTACTCACCATTTTGTCATTTAAAAAATGTATGACTTTAGCTGGGTGCACACTGTACTATTTATAATAGTCCTTTATGATTGCGGCTTGTCAGACTGTACGAAAATGATCCTCGTTGTAAGCCATGTCACACTGTAAGATCTCAGTTGTCATTAATGTGAGATTGTACAACAGTCAAGACGCGTTAAACACGGACGCACACAAGAAAACTCGTCCGGAGTTTTACATCAGTCAATGACACGTTCAGTGACGGTGAACAGCATTACATGCGGGATTGAAATGGTGGCTACAATGAAATCTCTAAAGTTAATTTTGGTCATGACTTGTCTTGAAAAACGACAATTTGACGTCGTCGTAGAAGTCACACTGCAGGACTGCGAGTCAAATCTTCTGACACTGCCAGAAGGTAAAACTTGATGGGCTGTCAGTAAACATGTCAAACTACAGATCAAACACTTCCGATTTTTCTTCAACCTAGGATCAGAGGACTCTTTTAGGATTTGCAAAATGTGTCCAAATCATTGCCAAAATCATGCACCCGGCTTTAATGTGTGGGCACATTAACAATATTTCTGCAAAATATTGCAGGCAAAAATAGTCCATTGTCTACTGTCAATAGCGTAGCAATGTATGAAGCACAGCCCACACAGAAGTCACTTTCAAACGAAGCAGCTTTCTGTTCATCGAATTTGGATGACCAACATGAGCGAAATCTGCAAAGGGAACTTTTTTGCTGTCACACAAAACTCCAGAATGCACAAATCCTTAATGAAATCAAAGCATAAGAAAAGCATCTGATTATACCAACGTGGATGTTTGCACAAACTCTGCAATTCGACACTCTAGTAAAGTCACGTCACGTTTATTTATATAGCACATTATACAATAAATTGCTTAAAACCAATCAGCTTTACTGTGTTAAACATGATAAAACAATGTCAGTGTCTCGTTTCATCAGAAGCACAACTTCATTTTGTACCATAAAGCAGCTCTCCAGTGTGTTCATGTTTTCACTCACGGACGTCTGACCTCGACCGACTGAACAGGAGAAATTAACTTGAAAAGATTTCCACTTGAAAGATAGAGCCTCCGCGCACAACTACCTATTATGTAATCGCAATGGACCAATGGCAGTACAAAGGTGTTTACCAGCCAAAGCGAACTTTTCCAGAAAAAAAAAACATTGGACAAAAAATATGCACCAAAAAAATATTTGGTTAGTAATTTAGACTGGCAGACTGTGCACAGCTCACTCAGGGTAGGATCTCAAAGAAATAATAGGACAGATTCCGTCAGCAGTCGTAGGCGGGGCCTGTTCGATATAATTTCGAATATTTGCTGATTTTTTTTTTTTTTAAACTGCACATTCGAATGCAAAAACCGAGACATGATAACGTAACTGACGCGGTTTGTTTTTGTTGGCTTATCCGGTATACAGCGAGGTGCGGCTGCGTTGTTAATTTGAAAAATGGCGGGAAAAGGTAGCCTGACTTCGTCATACTCATATTCTAGTCAGAATGTGAGTCTGATACTGCTTCATAGGGCTTTGATTATGAGGCGTGTCTTAACCGAAGCAGGAAAAAAAAAAACCTCTGCACTCAATTGGATAGACCTACAACCAATGAGAGCAACGCAGTAAGTCAACTACTTTGCATAGCACAGTTGTCAACTACAGAACTCAAATGCACACACGCTGGAAGAAGTAAAATAACGAGTGTTGCTTCTTTTACTTGGTCCTCTATGAGTGCGACCAAAGGAGAAACCACAACGACCGCAGGGTTTTCATTGCGTCCCATCTTCTTAGTTACCATCGGAGCCAGCTGATAAATTAAACTTTTGCCGAATCCCATAGGAAGGACGGCAAACACATCTTTCCGATCGACAAATGCCTTGATTGCAGTTCTATGTTCGTCTTTTAAAGTGAATGCGCTGTCGATTTCTTTTACAACGGACGCGATAGCGGAATCTCTACATCTCAGTTCTCCAGCGGCAGTCATCTGTGAGGGAAACCAGTTCAACCCAAGCGCTCTTTGATAACGTGAGGATTACGTCCCTGCAGATCATCTGTCCATCATCGTATAAAGCCCGCCCTGGCAATTTGATTGGCCCGACAATTTCTGAACCGATCATAATTACTCCTCAATGGATCGAGTCCAGACCGAACTTCCCGACCAAAAAATGTTGTGGGCGGGGTTCGGGCTGGCATCCAGGCTAGGGAAAAGGCTACGTGCTGACAAAAACCCTCTTAGTTGGTGGCAAAAATCGTGCCATATGTATCCACATATTGCTCAGCTAACAAAGACATACTTGGCCATTTCTGGCACATCGGTCAGAGCTGAGCGTGTGTTTTCATCAGCTGGAAACATTGTCAACAAAAAACACTCAGCACTCGCTGCAGATCAAGTTGACCGTCTGGTGTTTTGGACGAAGAATATGTAGATGTGTAGTGAGTAGAAGTGGATTGTTTCTGAATGAAAGTTTGCTATTTTGTGTTCATGTAGTAAATTACACTGTATGTTGAAGCGCGTTTTCTCAGTTTACTGATGCACTTACACAGTTTTCTGCACTTTTGTTACCTAATTTTCCTTGGATTCACATTAAGGAAATTATATTTTATTTAAGAACAATTGTTTGAAAAGTGAATGCACTTTAAAAAGTGAACGTCATTTCAATAAAAGATGCGTGCTTGATTTGGTTTATATTTTCTTATTGCACTCGCTTGCGCTCTCTTGCTGGCATAGGAGACAATACAGTCCTTTTTCCCTTTAACATTAAGTAACACCATGTAAAAGTGAATTTTGCATAATCGATCCCCATTAAAATACTAATACGCAGCTTTTAGAGGTAAATATATAGGATATAAAAGTGTGACAAGCTTTGACAATTTTTCTTACAGTAGAAGACAATTAGCTGATTCTATGTGAAAAAAGGGCCAGTGAGTTCATGAAGGCCAGCAGGAAGCAGTTAGAGATAGCAAGTTGTGGTGTGATGTCAGGTTTAATTAGCCAACAGGGCCTGAGGACTCATTACTCACCGAGCAGAGGATAGGAGACTCAGAGGGAGAGCTGTTTACCACACATCCTCCTCTCTGGTTCCTGTGCATCACCACAGGGTCTTGATAAAGGGCACACAAAACCACAAATGACCCCCTTTAAAAATATGTCAACCATTTCAAAACATAACAGGACCAATTATGTGCATCTACTGTTGGGTATGAGCAAGTCAAACACAGGTCTGCGATGTTTGGAATCATGCGTCTGAGAGAGAGAGATAGAGAGAGAGAGAGAGAGAGAGAGAGAGAGAGAGAGAGAGAAACGGGTTTCACTCACTTCTTTTCATCCTATCACCCTTCACATATTCCAAAGCCTAAGCTCTTATTAGTCTGATATCGAACTGACCGTGGTTTGAGAACTGACATGTTTGCTTGACAGCGTTCGATCGATACCGTTTGCCTTGATATGGGTGATCACGGACGTTGCAATTACAGAGCCACTTCAGTGATCCAGATGTGGTTCTTTTGACATAAATCATTCAGGATTTCGCTGGTGTGAGACCACAGTCCGTTCGGATTGATTAACAGGATAAATTGTATCAGCAGTATAAGGTTGCCCAAATACATAGGACGTATTAAAGTCTAAATCTTGAATTACTCTGATGTGAAGCATACTGTGAATACAACATTTACACTAATGGTTAAAAGTTTAAAAATAATTAAGTTTTTTTTAATGTTTTTTAAAGAAGTCTCTTACAATTTAAAAAAACTGCTTTCTATTTTAATATATTTTCCAATGTTATTTATTCCTGTCATGGCAAAGCTGAATTTTTAGCATCATTATATTCCCATCTTCAGCAATGTCACATTATCCTTCAGAAATCATTCTAATATGCTGATTTGCCACTCAAGAAATATTTATCATCAAATGGTGAAAACGCTTTTGCAGCTTAGTTAGTTTTTAGTTTTGTTTAGTGCTTTGGGGGTGGAAAAAAAGGATTAAAAAATTAACTTAATACTTTTCTTCAGCAAAGATGCTTTGATCAAAAGTGACAGTAAGGACATTTTGTTACAAAAGATTTCTATATTAAAAAAATGCTGTTATGTTTAACTTTATATTTATCAAAGAACATTAAAGTGACTAGTCAAGACTGTATTTCAAAGATGGCTCCTGTCTGTATACACGAAGTGGACTGTCTTTATAAAATATCTTCTTATTAAACGGCCTGTACACTTACAAAGTTCTCAATGCTTCGTTTTGCATGTAGGGACCCTCATTATGTTACTGTGTTCGTGTGGGGCTATTTTGAGCCTTGTTAGTGGTATTAACTAGCGATTTCTTTTTACTTATTAAATGCCCTTATTACTAGCGTTATACGCTAAACACAGGGTTCTCAAGTCTCACGCATTGGGCGTGAGACACACGCAATTCAACCAGTTCACACGCTCACACGCCACACCGTGTATTTCTCACGCTGAAAAGGCAATGCCAACCAAGTTGTCCTGCAAGCTTTATATATAACGTTGCATACGAGGCGCAGGCACACAAAGTGAAGTTTCCTGCCGCCAGCACGTATCTCTCGGCCAGATTGCGTTCGTTAGGCAACATAGACGCGAGCGAACACACAGAAGTTGACGGAACAATCTCGGCCACCGTACGTTCGTTACTAGGTAACCAACAACATCGCGCAAACGCGTCGTGATGGAGAAGGGAAGAAAGCTCGTCTAACATTTTAAGGCTAGAACATTTAATATATAGCCCATCGTATACATTATTATTGATGCAGTCAAAAACTCTACAACTACTTTGCAACCAGGCCAGAAGCTTTGGCTCAGTTTGGGTAGCTTACATTACCTGAAACTATAAGGGAAATGTTAGTGGGTATGGGAAGGAATGAAAATGTATTTCTTCATTTTATTTTAAATTATATATTATACTGTATTAATAGTCTTTCTAGTTACATTAAGGCTACATGTATTAAAGCAGAGTGCTCTGGGTAATATTTTATATCCTGTCAAAACATACATTAATCATTGCCATTGCATTTGTATTTTTCAAAGATGTCAGGGAAAAAGCAAAAAGATATTTGTGTACACACACACACACACACACAAACAAACACCTTAATACTCTAATATGTCCATTTGTTCACAATGTCCCACCACACAATAAATCATTTTACCATTTCGACACATTCAAAATGCAAAAAGATTTGTTTTTCCAAACTGTTTGGAGCAATTTGTTATATTTTTGAAATTTTTGTATATTTGTAATTTTGAAATATAACATTAAAGAGTAGGCTATATTTGATGTGACGAATTGCTCTGTCATTTATCAGATTTACCAATAGGCTTTATGCACAGCTTCACTACTTCCTGAACTTCAGCCAGCCCTTTGTTTCCTGTCTGTCATTATTGGACAAACTGATTAATCCAGGTGTGCCTGATTATTGTTTTTGAGGCCAGGCACACCTGGATTAATCAGTTTGTCGAATAATGACAGACAGGAAACAAAGGGCTGGCTGAAGTTCAGGAAGTAGTGAAGCTGTGGCATAAAGCCAATTGTTATAATTTCAATTTGTGCTGGTTAATTATGAACAATGGGTAAAATTGGGGGGCAGGGATGGGCGGGGGCGGGGCTCTATTGGGGCTCCTCCCCTAACCGCATGTGATCTCACTCCAAGCTTTTGATAAAACTTGAGAACCCTGCTAAACAGTTTTTAGAGATAAAACTCTTTACAATCGATTATCATGAAAACAAATCTCAGAGAACGGTTGACTAGGTACCAATGTTTTATTAGACCAAAGGTTCATTTTGCGCCGGAGTTCTCCTTTAACAACGTTTAGCTCACGAATATTGATCCGGGAAGTTTTAAATCGAGTATGTGAATATATTGCCAACTTCACTGAAGTCCTTGAGTTAAGCACTGACCGCATTTCTTTATATTTGAGTTCAAGTTCAAACACAATGAAACCTCCATAAACGTGCAGAGCTCTGAAACACTGCCAGCGGGACATTAAACCGGGGGTGTCTGTCTGTCCGAGCTCAAATGTTTTTCGTGGGAACGCAAATATCTTTGCGAGGGAACGCAAAAGTTTTGTGTGGGAACGCAAATTTTGCGACGGAAGGCAAAGTTTCTCGGGGGAACGCAAAAGATTTTTTTTAAAAATCTCCCATCTCAATTTTTTTCCACCAGCACATCCCTTCAGGGGCTTTGTAATTTGGTCATTTCCATGGCAATTTCACAATCACGGAAACAGAACCACTGCACGTTTGCTGAGGAGTAACGTTATAAGATCAGTTTTGGCGCCCATTCGAAAGCCCATTCACAAACATACCGCGACTTATTTTCTTTTTTTGAGCGACAGACCCTGTCTACGTATATTAACGTTAGCTGCTAATCACTTTGCCTTCTCAGGCAACAACGTTCAATGGCAATTGACTTCATAACTTAAAATAAAAAAATGGTTAAGCTTACCCGTCTCTGTTTGTTCACGACGACATTGCTGGTCTTATTGTTTTTCATTTTCCCTTTGTCTTTTTCTGTTTTGCGCCACAAAACATTTCCCTCCTCTTCTTTCTTTTTTGGTCATGCGAATGGGTGAGCGGTTGATAAAATAAATTTTTGAACCCATTCAAAATGATAAACAACAATTAAATGTTAAAAAAATTAAATAAAAATTAAACAAATAAGCTTTTGATTTCGTTTTGTGTTAAATGTACACTGTGCGCACCCTCTAGCGTTTAAAAACAACAGCGTGCTTTTGCGGAATAACACGGTTTTGGTTGTGCTTCGGTTCTGAGTGACTGTGCGGATGAATAGGTTCTTTCCATAGACTGTAAAAAAAATAGGTTCCGTCTCGTAACTAATAGCGGTAGGCCTACTTGGTAGAAAATAAATTCCAGCGCAGCTATTACAACAATCCATAATGAGATAACCTTTCACAATAGTTAAGATAATGCTTTACAATGAACTCTGTTAGAGAGCAACATATCTGTTCAATAAAATACCTTACTCACCAGCGAAGTAATAAAAACACCATCTCCACGTCGCCCAAACATTTCCCCTATATTTGAAAAGCCAAGCGATTCTCCTTGTATTACGAGCTCTGTCTTGTTCTCTTTTTGCCAGCAGTCTCTCTAAAATAGAACTCATCATGTCAAGACGTCTGTTCTAACAAAATGACTATGAAAAGGGTGGATTAAACTTTATCGATTTTTGTACTCTTAATAATACTTTTAAAGTAAATTGGTTGAAACATTTCTTTAAAAACCCTAATTCTATTTGGAATGTCATACCAGGTCATTTGCTGTCAAAACTGGGTGGGTTGAGCTATTTCTTAACCTGTAACTAAATATTGATAAAGTTCCGATAAAAATGTCAGCCTTTCACCGCCAGGCCTTCCTTTCATGGTCTCTTATTTTCAAACACAACTTTTCACCCAACAAATATTACATATGGAACAACAAAGACATCTTGTTTAAACACAAATCTTTATTTATTGATTACTGGTTTAATAATAACATTATTTTTGTTGACTAATTATTTAACAGGGATGGTTGTCTTTACTCTTATAATGAGTTTCTATAGAAGAATACAAAATTCCTGTGTCTCCTGGAGATTATGCCAAAGTCTTTGGAGCAATTTCTTCTGGTGTTTGCATGTTATATAGATCTCAACCAAGAGTGGACAAACAACAACTAACTTTGTTATCGCTGACTGACACCTCAGTTGGTAAGATTTGTTTTTCTTGTAACAATGGTAAGAACAATAAACTAATTAGATCCCTGTTCAAAACAGATATTATCACAGTCCCATATGTGGTTCCATATTGGAATAAATTTGTGCAAAACATTGACTGGAAGAAGGTCTGGCTCTTACCCAACCGATATTTGCTGACCAACAAAATTAGAGAAATATCATTTAAAATAATTCATAAGTTTTACCCGTCTAATGATCATATTGTTAAAAAAAATTTAAAAGACATTGATGTAATGTGCACTTTCTGCTCTATGAGTATTGAAACAGTTACCCATCTGTTTTGGCAATGCCCTTTTGTCCAAAGTTTCTGGTCTGATATTTGTAATTTTATTGCAGAAAAAATCGAGAAAGATTTCAAG